AAGAAAAAGAACTAGGAAGCCTGTATTCTACCCAGCAATTTAATTCACAGCGAGAGTTTCAAAGCGAAGAGTAACTTACGAATTGTCGTAACTTTTAGAGATTAATGGGAGGCTTTCATTATCAATGCTTTATGATGAATATAACTACCTGTTTGGATTTTTGATAAAGAGAGCCTGACTGGGGATGCAGCCGCGAACCAGAGGAGCAATCAGCGTGTTCTCAAATCCGTATACCGCTCCAGTCAGTATCACTTGTCTGCCCAACTCATTGCCCCAAAGTCCACTCTAGATCATTATGATTGCAACCTGGCCTGCAGTAGAAATTAGCACTAGGTTCTACCATCCAAATGCTAACGGCAAACTCATGGATTGATAGAAGCGAAGAGCCCCCCCTGAGGATTTGTCCGAGCCGACGTTGGATGTAACAATGTGTCTTACTGAGGGGTCAATATTATTATGAACCGACTTGAATTGCAAGTATCAACTGAAAGGATTCGGAGGAAGAATTCGAGATTATTACAAAGCAGCCAAACTGTCGAGCTCGGAAGAGAAGACTACTTTTTCTCAATTGTAACGTCCTGGACGAACTTGCGGGGTTGACTTCTATCCTCTATCCTCTGGTAGAGTATTATTAATAATTATATAGCACGATTGAGCTGTCTGATCTCGATATCCCCGCTCGGGCGGGTTCAAAGGAATATCATATCCCAATCGGGCAATTCGCGAGTATCGACAGAACAAGGTTAGCGTTATCTCGGGGACTAAACCTGAAATGACTTAGTCACAGCGCTTAGTTACCCAATTGCTCTTCTTGGACCACCCTTGCCGGGATCAATGGAACTAACTATCTTCAACAAATTTGCCTTTATTCCTTGGAAGAACACGGACTTTGTCAACAGCTTGGCGATGAGATTGCTCTCAACCCTGCCAAGTTAGTGCTCCGAGATGGCATAGAAGCTGGGCGAAGGCTTTAAAAGAATCGCCTCGAGGTTGAGGATGTGGACCTCATTTCCATCCTCAATAGGAAATACTCAAGAGCTGCCTAGGTGATAAGATGAAGGCATTGCTAAATCCGGAGATCTGCTAGGTGATAAGATAGACACGATGTTATATCCGATGAATGAGCTTGATGGAGCTGGGCTCCTTTTTGTCTATTTAAGACTTGCCTGCGCCCAGGCAATCTGAACAGAACTGACATTATCAAGCACACAATCTTTTCAATATCTTGACCCCTGGAAAAAGATCGAACAACACCAAACGACGCAAATATGTCTACGCCTCAAATTCCTGCTTCTTTGCAAAGGAGCCTGGATGCCACCAAAGTCGAGTATGTTCAGCTAGGCACTTCTGGGCTTCGGGTATCCTCGCCCATCCTTGGTACCATGGGCATTGGTGACAAGGACTGGCAGAATTGGGTTATAGAGGAAGAGGAAGGCCTGGAGATACTCAAAGCCGCATGGGATAGAGGTAAGAAAGATATCCCACATACGGATATTCAAGGTTTACATAGCTGAATAAACCAATATAGGGGTCACCACCTGGGACACTGCCAATGTCTATTCCAGTGGCATAAATGAGGAGATTGTTGGGAAGGCAATAACAAAGTTCGAAATTCCGCGACACAAGCTTACCCTCCTCACCAAATGCAGTGGTACGGTCCCAGATGAACCAAGTATTTTTAACTGGGGGTTTGAAGCACAGTTAAAGCAGAGCAAGGACTATGTTAATCAAGGAGGTAGGCTCAGATATGGCAACGTCCTCTCCTTTTGCTTCTTTTCTTCTTTATGCTAACTCCTAGGGTTGCACAGGCTTGTCGCGGACGGCCATTTTCCATGCCGTTGACGCCTCTCTCCGGCGCCTCGGAACCACCTACATCGACCTCTTGCAAATTCACAGGTACGACCCGTCAGTCCAACCTGAAGAGACCATGAAAGCACTCCATGACCTCGTCCAATCCGGCAAGGTCCGTTACATCGGTGCCAGCTCCATGTGGACGTACCAATTTGCTCGCATGCAATTCATCGCCGAGAAAAACGGCTGGACGAAATTCATAAGCATGCAGAACTCGTACAACCTCTGCTATAGAGAGGAGGAGAGGGAGATGATGAAGTTTTGTAAAGAAACTGGTGTCGGGCTGATCCCGTATGGGCCGCTGTTCAATGGCCTATTGGCAAAACCGACACATGCGCAGTCCGCTAGGTCGAAACAGAGCCTTGCTATGGCTGGCGGGTTTACGGAAGCGGATCAAACGATCATTAAACGGGTTGAAGAGCTGGCTGAGAAAAAGGGATGGAATATGAGTCAAGTTGCGTTGGCATGGATTAGGGGGAAAGGTTGCGTTCCCATCGTGGGCTTGACAAGTGGTGAAAGGATGGACGATGCGTGCGCCGTGCGCGACATGAGGTTGACAGATGAGGAGACTAAGTACTTAGAGGAACCGTATGTTCCGAGGAATATCATGGGACACTTCTGAATTCGGGGCGACACTCCGGATCAAGCAATCTGTATGGTATGGCCTGCTATCATAACGAATCGTGCTTAAATTATTAGCTTGACAGAAGAAAACCAATAACACATTGTTTTGACGCAGATACCATTCACTCGCGTAACTTAATGACAGAACATTTTCACAACAAGGGAGCATAACCTCAAAAGGAGGCAATTATTAATTCCAGGGTTTTGGCCCTAAGGGCTCCTGCATCAGCTAATTTGAATTAAGGTTTGTAGCCGTTTTAAGGTGGCTGGTAAGGCTCTAGGCCTCCCTGGAGAGCTGACAAAGAGGCGCCAAGCGGCGACTATGTTGGAGTTGATCCGTGACGTCCTCCTTGTCTGCGATGAATCCAGCTCTCATGCGTTTCTAGTCATTATCCACGAAGGTGTCATGCCGTTCCCAAGTCATGGTTGCCGCACCTGCAAGCGGCGGCGCGTGAAGGTGAGGGAGTTTTTCCACACCCTAGGTTGGGACGTGGAGAATGGGAGTCACTAATATATGGCCCGGCCCCCCTAGTGCGATGAGACCCGCCCGATATGCAATCGATGCCGGAAGGCAAACCTCACCTGCGACAACGTTGAAGATGGTAACTTTATCTTCTTGAACGAAAATGAATTTGTAGTCGGTCGTCGAAAGCGTCCTCGGGGGCCTAATGTGAGTGCTCGCATTGGCTCCCACACCGAGGGTGATGGCCAGAGTTCCAGTCCAACGACCGACAGCCCATCCGCATCCTCGGAGACCACGGGCCCGGCTCTTCAAAGAAGGCATCCCGAACCACGGAGCTCTGTGTCACAAACGCTGGAAACTCCTATAGCGGAACAAGCTTTGAATTACTACTTCCGAAACTATCTTGAGATGGAGCATCTTTTACATGACATTGCAGACAGCCATCTAAAATATGTCGCGACCAGTCGTTGCTTTACCGAGCCTGACTCCATCCTCAGTCTCGCGATATTTGCAGTATCGCACGCTACGTTTGGGCGCGCACGGAGAAGCCATGCCTCCTTAGCTGCAGGGTGTAAACAGTACTCAAAAGCTCTTGAGAAAACGAACTTGGCATTGCAGAATCCCAGTCATGCGACCGACAACGATGTTCTGCTGGCTATAATGCTATTAAGCTTTTATGAGAACTCCGTAACCGACATGAGGTCGTCACCGGCTTCCAGCCATGCTATCCAAGCGTGGGCTTCGCGTAGCTTCGCTCACCATGATGGAGCGTTGGCCGTGCTCAGGTTGCGACGACAGACACAGCATCGAACCGGTGCCGCGCACGTTTTGGATAAATTGGTCCGGCGGCAACTTATGAGATCATTACTGTTACGGAGCTTGCCTTTACCATCATGGCTCGAAGATGGATTCGAATATGGAGAATATGGTTTCGCGCTTGAGCTTGACACTTGCCTGGTGGATGTCGCAAAGATTCGACATCGAGCAAAAACTCTGTTTGCTGATTTCGCAAACAGTTCACTGTCCGAACGATGCGATAAAGAAGAAGAAGAAGAAGAAGAAGAAGGAGAAGCACTTCTCTATAGCTTCTTAGAAGAAGCTTACGCGTTGGATGGGACTTTGGTCTCCTGGACAGAACACCTACCCCTTGAGAACTGGTATACCACCCATACAGTTAAGGAACACGGGCAAGCGGAGATCCACAACAGGGTGTTTAACAGCACTGTTCACATATACCCCACGGTTGGACATGCGGGCATGTGGAATCGCTATCGCGCTCTCCGTCTGGCGGTGCATGACACCATTCTCCAGGCGTTATCCATCCTAGACGGGTTAGTGGACTCAGACAGCACAACTGAGCCTCTGGTGGAAGCTGTGAAGGTGACGACCGAACACCTTTCGGATGATATATGCGCAAGCGTACCATACATGTTAGGTCTAGTTGAAGCTGGTTGTGCCATTGCAGATGATGTTATTATCGCCGACCCCCCGGCTTCAACGAAGAGAACTGTTAAAGCCACAACAGCGGGGCTTCTTTGCTGGCCTTTGGCTACGGCGGTAATGGTCTCAGGAATACCAGAAAAACACGAACTGTATCTGAAAAGCTGTTTGCTCGAAGTAAGCGAGATTGTTGATGATGGCGTGCTCGAACGGCTTGCGGTTTTCTTTCCCCGACTATCCAAGTCCTCCTCGTATGCGCGGTAGTCCAACACCTAACCTTCCATTATACTTTTCACTTGACTCTCCCCGCGCACTAGCGCTGCATTGAGAGGGGCGACGGGGTACCCTGCTTACGGAGTTAAGGTCTTGTCATATGGCGCCTGTCACATTGTTGTAGCTTTCTCATGCCTAGCTAGCATCTTTAGTTCAACTTATAGGTTCGACACCAATCGAGTATGATAGCAAATATGACATTACTCCGTCCTGTTGTACAGAGTACAGTAGCGCAATTTAGCCATAAAAGTGAACAGGGATGGAAAATGCAGCAGATGGCGATGTCATTGCCAAGTAGATGACTAAGCCACCCGCGGCCATTCCCCGCATTTTCGCAAACGCGGAGGAAGAGCACGTGATATCTCTCCTCAGCGGGCGGCGCAACCCCCTCATTCTCCTCTAATTCTCCGCTCTCCCTGGATCTCACTGTCGACGCTCCCCATGAAAGATGGATAGTAACCGGCCTGCGCCTGGTCGCGTGAGGAAGAAGAGCACATCGGCCGCCCGCAAATCGCTGTCTTGCGAGTATTGCAGTCGCCCATTTGCGCGCCTGGAACACCTCCAGAGACATCTCCGCACACGTTGAGTTACCCTCCCCCCACCAACCCCTGAAGCCTCCTTTTCGGCCCCGTATGTGCATACTATGTTTGTCATCGTCATGACCTGACCTCCAGTTTTAGACACAAAAGAAAAGCCGTTTTCGTGCGAGATATGCTCCAAATCATTTGCGAGAAGGTGAATTGATTCTTATAATTGTCTGTTTCCTGGTCCCCTGGGGCTTGTCAAGTAGTAATTGGGTTACATGTTGATAGTGATCTCCTCGTCCGCCATGAGCGCCTAGTCCACCCCTCAGAGGGAAATGCGCATCACCGTGCCGAAAATAGGACAACTGCCGCTGCTGATGTATCCGCAACCCCCGCAGCCATACCCGCCCCACCTCCACCTCCGCCTCCATCCTCAAACCATGACAGCCACTTATTGAACCTGCCGCAGCCTGTGGCCACTAATTCACCTGCAGTAACCCACCCAAATATACCCGTCCATTCTGCTCAGATAGCAGAACCAGCCCAGTTCAACCCGTCGTGGGGGTATGACCTTAACCTCCTCTCGCACGCCGCAAGCCATGTTGCGCTCGAGGGCCAGCAGGAGACACTTGAGCCAATTCGCAAAACACCTGTGCAGGAAAAGCAAATAACTGGTAACTATGGCGTGGAGCCATCTCTACTGGACCTTGCGGATCTAGGGGACCCGGTCCAGGATTTCGGTGTCTTCCTAGAAAGCGTTGGTCTGTCATCCGATTGGGACTTGGGGATGTTTTCGACGGCAGGTGAAACGGAACCTATACTCCCTGGGGTAATACCACCCCCCTCTTTTGATCCAAAACACCCGATGAATCCTCCAAGATACAACAATGGAGACATTATAGGCGACCAGCGCACCTCCACAGAAGACGCTCCATCTTTTTCAAATTTTGGATCCCGCCTCCCCTCGCTCCAACCAGAGTCTCACGACCCGGAGGATCGTCTTGGGATCCCCGATGAAATCGCCCAGACTCGGCCGGCGTGGGATGTGTCAAATCAAGATAGGCAACTTTTCATTGCCCGACTAGAGGATTTCGCCCACGTACTTCCCAAAGGTTTTGTGCCTCCGTCAAGACATGCACTGTCTCGGTTTTTTGCTGGCTATATCAATGGCCTGAACGAACATCTTCCCTTCATCCATGTCCCAACACTTTCTGTGGCTAGATGCCCGCCTGAGCTAAGCCTCGCGCTAGCCGCTGCCGGCTCTCATTACAGGTTCGAAAATAATCGAGGAATCGATCTTTTTTACGCTTCTAAATCAATTCTTCTTGAACGACTTCGACGACGAGATTCTCGACGAGTGCCTCAAGTACCATGGGGATTTGGTGGACCCAGTCCTGGTGTTCATCGCTCCCGAGCCTCGTCCTCGATTTCTAATCCTGGTAGTAGCCCATTCCAGCAGCCATACATATCTGCTGTGGATGGTGCCACGTACCTTGGCGAAGATTCCGTTGCACAAATGGAAATCATCCGTACTTTCCTCCTCCTCACTGTATTTGCTTCATGGGAAAGACATCCCGAATTGCTACGCGAGATACTTGCGCTTCAAAGCACCCTTGCCAGGCTTGTTCGCGATCATGGCCTTGTCGAATCCACGCCAACATCGGACGGGATAAGCTGGGAAGATTGGGTTCACCGCGAAGCTGATAGGCGAACCAAGCTTATTGTTTATTGTTTTTTCAATCTCCATTCCATTATGTACAATATACCTCCGTTGATTTTGAATTCTGAGCTGAAGCTCAACATGCCGGGACCTGCTGAAGAATGGAAAGCACCCAATGCAGCTCAATGGCGCCGGTTGCACCGGTCCCGTGTTGAAGGGGATACTTCATTTCAAGAAGCTTTTATGAAGCTTTTTATCAAATCGCCGCAGTCGAATGGTGTTACGCCTATATCCCCATTGGGAAATTATGTTCTGATCCATGCAATAATTCAACAAATTTTCTTTGCCCGGCAGCTATGCCTATCATCCCCTCTGATGTCTGGCACTAGCTTACGACCCGAAGATCTTTCAGTCTTGGACTCTTCTCTGAGCGCATGGAAAGCTGGTTGGAGGCGAACTCCGGAATCAAGTATCGACCCTCAAAGCCCGGCCGGTCCGATCGCATTTACATCAACTGCTCTTCTCGGCTTAGCGTATATCAGGCTGCATCTGGATCTCGGCCCCTGCCGCAACCTTGTAACCCAAGACCCAGTTCAGATTGCACGGGCTCTTAAAGAGTCACCACCTGTCGTGCGGAACCCAAGGCTAACTATGGCGTTATTGCATTCCGCACATGCCCTCTCGATCCCAGTACGACTAGGGATAGATTTCGTTGCAAAGACTCATTCGTTTTTCTGGAGTATACAACATTCAATTTGCAGTCTCGAGTGCGCATTTCTGCTCAGCAGATGGCTTCTCGCAATTCCTGCCACTCAATCCGACCAGCGGCTATCCGACCATGAGCAAAAACTACTCTTGTGGGTAAAGAGCATGATGGAGGAGACAGATATGGTTTTCAATATGGCCAATACGGGCGAGCTGGACTTTATAAATGACCCACTCAAATTGAAGGAGCTTAGTATCGCCGTTGTTCGCGTATGGTCGAGAACTTTCAAAGGAAACACGAGCTGGCCCATCGTGGACCTCATCGGGTCGAGTTTAGAGGTCTATGCCGATTTGCTGGAGTCTTAGAAATGTCTCTACATACTCAAGTTACACATAAACAATCTCTTTCTACTTTCATTTATTCGATCTGGGTCATACCTTAGTTGTGATACCCAAAACACCCCGATGCCTACAGTCTATGGTTCTTGAATACTTCACGTTCGCCTACGCCTTTCTGAATAAATTTAACATGTGAACACCCAGAGAAGGTTTTACCTAATCGATTTGCTCTGCTGCTGGTTGACACTCTCTCAACTTACCCGTCTGATTGGGCGCGGCATCAAGTGCCGTCTTCCTCCCATACCGTCCGCTCTACCTACACCTCCTTCCCTCTTCTCGCCTAATTCTCTCGATTGACATGTCTCCTCTATTAATGGTCACGGCGCCTAGCGTTTTGCTTTAAGAGGCTATCTGGGTTGAGTATCTCCATCAACTTCTCTGAACGATATACTAAGATATCTCCCTCATTGTGCCACATCTCACATCTTCATTATTCAAGAAGCAAATAAACGAAGATGCGAGAAGCAATGCCTGCCTCTTAGCTGTCTGTGCACATTCTGAATTGACCTATTCTTCTTTTGATATATGGCATGGCATGTTCTCCCTTCCAAGAAACCTACCTCGTCCCGATCGGGCCTTTTATAAATCCGTTTCTTCCTACCTCACTAATATCGAATTTTTTTTGAATTTTTTTCTTGTTTCTTTTCTCCTTTTTTTTTTTTTTTTTTTTTTTTTTTTTTTTTTTTTTTTTTTTTTTATATATATATAGCATAATACCCCAAATATCTCCCTACCCAAAGGAACCGGGGATGACGAGAGCGAATTTTTCTCCCTTCTTATATATGCCTCTCAAAAGGAGTATAATGACGAGATGTGGTCAAGTGGAATTGACTGCAAACGAAAAAATGGACCCTGATATTTTCTCCATTATTGTTCCATTCCTATTATCTTTTTATATCTCTTATGGTATATTTTTATTCTCGCATGTTATTTATGGCCCGTTTGAATCGGCTGCTGCACGGCGGCCATAAAGAGAATTAGCTAGGAAAAGCCAAACGAAACAGTTGGATTTTGTTGGGGTCGGTTGAGTAAGGAAAAAGGGGCGATGTTATTTTGCTCTTCTCTTTCTTTTCCCCCCTTTCAAGGTGTTGGGTAAATTCCTTTTTCATTTCTTCTTTAACTACCATCCTTCTTATATTGCGTTAACTCCATGCTCAGCTTCCATCCTCCCTAACGAGGGGAATTTATATATATATATATATATATATATATATATATATTAATCCTTTCGCCACAGTAACAACGCCACCCTGACATATTTCATATGATTTAATAAACTACGGCTTTGGAGGAAAAGATGAATATCAGAAATGGCTGTAACATTTGTAAGGCATCTCAGGCTGCATAGTCTTCTCATGATTCATTCCATACAGAGCTCTACATGTTAAGTTGGACCGTCAAAAACCAACATAAGGGCAGTCATATCTTCGCTGCGAGGTGGGATATAAAGACCAATCACAAAAAACCTCTGCTAAAAAAGGTCCAATAAAAGGACTCATCCATCATCCATCATCATCGTCCCTGCTTTTGCCGTTGTTTCTTCCCATCCATCCTCAAAGCTACGCTCGTCGGCACAAACCTGAGGGCCGACATCGACTTTTCCAATTCTGCAATATCAGGCCCTTTGTCATTCGAGTTGCCATTGGAGTTAGATTTGCCCATGGTTGTTGCTGCGACTGTCCTTGAGGGAGCAGATTTCATGTGCATTGGTAATTGTATACTTCCTGCGGGGTTACCTAGGTTTGTGCGGATGGTGGTATCGTCGTTGATGCTGCTGTGGTCCGGTAGAGGCGCGACGTTACTAGGATTTTCTCCTCCTGTGGATTGAGACAGTTTCCGTCGTCTCAGGCGGTTTTCATGTTGTGTTGCGTTGGGTACTGAGACACGTCGGCGGTGGGTTGGTGCCATGCCTCCCCTGAGCATCGAGTTGTATTGATCGATACCAGTGACGACGATGGAGAAATTATAAAACTATTCAATTTTAGCGGCTTGTGGGGTTAGTTGACGAGTTTATTAGGGGAGGGAGGGGGCTTGAAGATTTAGAGTCGTCTTAACATTTTTCTATTTTTCTCCGTCTATTTTACGCATACGGTCCTGATAGAATAGGTGAAATGAAAGGGGGTAGATAGTAACTCACCCTCGGGAATTGATGCTTGTCGATAAGATGGAGTCTTCTTTTCTGACTTGTCGAGCATTTCCGATCACAACCTTCAACAAAACATGAGAACTACCCGTTCAGGTTAGTTTCAATAATCATTACAGTGCAGATTACGTGAGAATTAAAAAATGAAAATAAAATATAAAGTATCACCGTCTTTTCGCCCCGTTCCATACGCGAAGCAATGAGGGGATCGTGGAGCTCCTCGATGTGCAAAGTAAGAAAATGAGTAGTAGGGAAATTCTTCCCGCACTCCAAACACCGATTGGAATGCGCTTGCGCATAATGGACTTCGTAGTCTTCATACGTCGAAAATGAGATATGTTCCCTATGAGGAGGCAACGAGCAACGCATCACTTCCTGATCTCCATTCTGGTCGTCTAAATGGACCTGTTTCCCAGGGGGGGAAGTTTGGGGGCCCATGGCTGTAGACGGTATGTGAGAATCCACAGGCGAACCTGGCGGTTCAAATGCCAGAGACTCTTCTCGTGAGCGTTTGGCCATTGTTTAAAATGGAGAGAGATCTTAGTCTCTTAGTAACAGGTGGAAAACGGAAACAAGCAAGTACCGTGTTTATCGCTCGAATTAGGTGCCAATCCCCATGCCCTCTCTGAAGGGCGCTCCGACGACACAATGTGAGCACTCTTATTTACCACTGTGGCGGTTAATACGATCGATTTGGACGAATGCAAAGCCTGTTACTCAAGTTAACTGGCGTCGACTGAGATTGAAAGGGACTAAAAGAAGTATTGAGTAATTTTCAATCAGCAGAATACGGAGTGTATGACATGTTGATGCGCCAGCTACAGATCCATATGACGTAGACTCACGTGATGATAACGATGATGACTAAACCCAATGTACAATTATTTGAAATCAGATATTTCGATATTTGCCCCTCCTCCGTCTCTATACAAACGACTTTTCACTCACATTTCAGTTGAGTGATACCATAAAATTTAAGCAATCGACCGAAATTATACTGTCTCACCCGCCATGGCGCCACCAAAGTCCAAAAATGCCGTTGGACTGGGGAATAGTTTGATGAATGATCGTTTCGGGAAGGGAAAAGGTAGTGATCGCAAAAAAGCTTCCTATAGCGCTGCTGCTGTTCAACGGACTGGTCCAAACGGCGAAACCTATATTACGAACCCAAATGAGGAGGCATCATGGGTTAAAATGCGAAGTATCACCGAGCAAGGTGCTCTGGATGAGTTTCTCAGCACAGCAGAGCTTGCCGGCACGGATTTCACGGCCGAGAAACTGAATAATGTCAAAATCATACATACAGATCAGAGGAATCCTTATCTACTTTCTGCAGCTGATGAAAGGGCTGCAGTCAAGAAGCATCAACGGAATCGTGGCAGATTGACAGTTCCCCGTCGACCGCAATGGGACAAATCAACAACCCCACAACAGCTGGATAGAATGGAGCGGGAGAGTTTACTTGAATGGAGACGAGGGCTTGCAGAGTTACAAGAACACCAGGATCTACTATTGACTCCATTTGAGAGGAACCTGGAAGTTTGGAGGCAGTTGTGGAGAGTTATTGAGCGGTCAGACCTGGTCGTGCAAATTGTTGATGCGAGAAATCCCTTACTCTTCAGATCGGAGGACCTGGAAAAATACGTGAAGGAAGTTGATCCTCGGAAGCGGAACTTGTTATTGGTAAACAAGGCAGATATGATGACCGAGAAACAGAGAGAAATATGGGCGGATTATTTCGAAGAGCACGGTATCAATTACAAATTTTTCTCGGCCGCATTGGCCAAGGAGAGCCTCGAGGCGATGGAGTTGGCTAACAAAGACATGGACAAGGATGTCTCAGAGGAGGAGGAACTAGCTGATAATACAAAGAGGTTGAACATTGACGATGCAGAAGAGGATTCCAGCGAAGAGGAATCGGAGACTGATGAGGGTGGACCACTCCCCAACCTCCCTAGATCGCGCACGCAGATTCTTACGATTGACGAACTTGAGGAACTCTTCCTTACAGCTGCACCGCACATACAAAAAAACGAAGGGGAGAACGGGAAACCCAAACCAACGACTGTTGGTCTTGTCGGATATCCTAATGTTGGTAAATCCAGTACAATAAACGCCCTCCTTGGCGCGAAGAAAGTATCAGTATCTGCCACGCCGGGGAAAACCAAACACTTCCAAACACTCTATCTCTCACCAAATCTCCTCTTGTGTGATTGTCCCGGTCTGGTCTTCCCTAACTTTGCAACAACAAAAGCGGAACTTGTCGTAAATGGTGTTCTACCGATCGACCAGCTTCGCGAATTCTTGGGCCCGGCCGGTATTGTGGCCAAACGCATTCCAAAACCCTTCTTGGAAGCTGTGTATGGTTTTAAAATCAATATGCGACCTCTCGAAGAGGGAGGAACTGGAGTTCCCACGGCTTCCGAAGTTCTTCGTGCATATGCGCGCGCCCGAGGCTTCGCCACCACCGGTCTTGGCCAGCCTGACGAATCCCGCGCTGCAAGATACGTATTAAAAGACTATGTTAGCGGGAAACTCCTGTTCTGCCACCCTCCACCTACTTCCGAATCCGAAGTTGAAGCTGGGAAGAAACCGATCGACCCGGCGGAGTTCAACCGAGAATTATACGATATTTCCCATCTACCTCCAAAGAGACGTGACGCTCTCCTTAATCAGGGGTTAGCGCCCTCCTTGTCCGGCTATGATGAGTCGTCTAGCCACGCTGATACCGATGCCGACACGAACGACGACACCTTATCGCTCCCATCCTCTATCGTTTCTCACCCGCAGGGTGCTCGCTCGCGGAACCTGGACACTGGCTTCTTCTCGTCAGTTGGCTCAGGAGGAGCGGGACATGTTAAAATGCCCTTCAGTTACCAATATACTGAACAAGGTGCTATTCAGAGACAAAAGGAGCTTTCTGGTCGAAAACAAAGAATGATGGTTGCGTTAGAGAACGGGGTTGATCCTTCGGAGCTTAGCAGGGCTGGCAAGAAGCACTTTAAGGGTGGGAAGAGAAAGGAAATAGAACGAAGGAAGAAGGCATTATCTAAGACAGGGGAGGAGGATTTCTATTAGATGGTTGATATAACGTAGATGAGGGACAGCAAGCAGCCTTCTTACTATGGTTTTTATATTTTCTTCTAAGTGTACAAGTCCACTTTCGCTTCGCGAGTGTTCGTTTCTTTTGGATATACGAATGGATGAGGGTTAGATCTAAAACGGCGGGGTTAATGATTATACTTGCATTTTACTTAGTTATTAGCAATCCTATTTACATTCGTCACTATTAACATGATTATTGTTGCTATCAAAGCCCAATGGTATCTGCGTACATACGAGATGATGATTGTTTGTGAAAGTCGTTCGTGCGTGAATAACCCTTGGGATTTGTAAATAAGAAATCGTTCTTCTATCAAATTTGTCTATTATCTATTATTCATAAATCTATCCTGAAAGGTATTAGAAGTTAAATATATAATAGTATTTAAGCTGAGTTATGAATAGTATTTATGAACTTCAGTCTATATAGTTGTATATAGTCAAGAGCTGCTAACTCTATTAATTATATAAGAGATAGAAATAGAGATAAAGAATCTGTAAGAAGTGAGATTTCTTATATATCTTTCTCTCTTTAAGACTTTATCTGTGAAGTCTTTCACTGAGTAATTTCATAGAATTAGCTCAGTACTGTAATAATACTTACTAAAAACTCTTTATATTTATAAAAAATCTCAGTAAGAAAAAATCTCTTATTACTGTAAAGAGAAAAGAGTCTATTACTCAGTTTCATATTCTATGAAATTCTTTATAATCTGCAGATCTTTCTCTGACTATTATATAAATTCATCTTACATCTTTTATACAGAAGAGTTTTAGTTAACTCTTAATCATTTTTATAAGATTCTTATATAATTATTACATAGATTCATTCTACAGATAAATTACTCTCTATAAGATTACTCTTATTAAAGAGAAGTATTCATGAGTTAATCTTTTACTTATTCTTATAAATCATTATTTCTTAATACTGTAGAATTGTAAGAAATTTTTCATTCTTTTATTAACTCTATAGAATTATAGAATCAAGATATTTACAGTCTATAATCACTCTTTATAGTTATATAGAAAGATTCAGATCTGTAATTTATAATTACTTTTTATTTACTAGAGTAATCTAACTATTCTGTAGAATCACTTATAATATAAATAAACTTCTTTAGAGTAGTATAAATATCTCAGATTTATTTATAAAATCTTATCTTCTTTTTTCTTTTTCTATAATAGCTCTTATTTTTATAAACTGTAAGTATTCTTATTTATCTGTGAAGTGTTTTCACTTAGATAATAGAGAGAGAGTATTTCTAACAATATTTATATATTAATTCAAGAACTTCTTAAGAATAAAATTTTTTTAATTTTAATATCTTTATAAATAATATCTGACTACTACTAAGCTTTTCACAGATATTCTTATAACTTCTCTAATTACTTTTTACTAACTAATAAAGCAGAGATATTATTATTTATAATAGTATCTTTATCTCTTTCAACTCTGTCACTGTATCTGATTTTCAGATTAATAGCTAACTCTGTATCTTTCTCAGATTAGCTTCTGACTTTAAGTAGTATAGTCTCACTCTTTACTATAAATCTCTCTGTAAGTAATTTCTTACAGACTCTAGCTAATAGTTTCTGCAAAGCTCTCAGTGCTATTAGTATTCTTTACAGCTCTGTAGATCTATGATTATTCTCTCTCTATCTATACAATCTTTAATTAAATATATATAAATATATCTAGGTTTTCTATCAATGATTCTTATACTGCAGTGTATTTCTGTAATTTTATTATTAATAAGAGATAAGTTTCTGAGTATCTGTAAAATCTAAGTAATCAAGATAATGTAAATGTTATGAATTTATAATAAGAGTTAATTTAAATAGATAAGCTCTCTCTCTATATCTTAATTATTTTCAGACTGAATACTTTAGTATAACTGAGAGAGTAGATATAGCTTTGTAAGAGATATCTGATTATATATATAGATAATCAGTTTTCAAGATTCTGCTATAACTGTATATACTCTGATATTCAGCTTTTCTAAAGTCTGTATATTTCTGATGATCTTTATATTAAATATAATAATTGTCTATACTGTGAGTATAATACTCTCTATTTATTTAAAGAGAAGAATTAATAGTTACAGAGAAATTAAGTATTACAGATATTAAGAATATAAGTATAAGTTTTCTTTATTTTTTCTTTATTAATCTCTAAATTATGTTTATGATTCTGTTTTTATTTTCTTTATTTTTTCACTTTAATAAGAATATGATTTCTTCTTCTCTTTGTATACACTGTGAACTGTTTATCTCAGTAGAAACTCATTATTTTATAGACTAGAGTTTATAAATAACAGTATTAATATCTTTATTATAATCAGATTCTTAGTGAAGATTATATTATTCTAACTTATTAGAATTTATAATATAAAAGTTATATCTCAGCTTCTGCAGATATCTTATCTATCTAAATAATTTTCAAGTGAACTTATTTATCTTATTAGAATACTCTTATCACTGAATCTTAAATCAGAGTTTATAATCTTATTTCTCTAAGTTAATAATTTCTTTAATCTGATATTCTCTTTCACTCTTTAGTACTTTATAAATAGAGTGATGAGTCACAGAGTTCTCTTCTAAGAATTTCTTATATTTACAGAGTAAAGAGATATAAAAAACATTATATATCTATAACTCAGATAATAG